TAAAAAAGGTTTCCCTATGACATCTACGTAGAGTTCTGACGAGTGTAAAATTCCCTGCAGGGGCAGTTTTATTACATAATTTATTTCATGTTCTGCAATCAAACCCTACAGCACCCAGTGATCCCGCACTGTTCGGGTAATGGACTTCACCCATCACCCGGTTGGCCTATCTCAATGAACCCAATTGGAGACACTAATCACGTGGCCAGCAGTGCAGCTGTAATACTGGACATGTGACATCTGCCCTGGTCGGTCTCTGAACACAGTGTTTGGACACGTGACATGGAACCCGGTCTCCTCTAAACTAACACATCGACATGTGACTTCAATCAGCGGTTTGGATCTGAGAATAACGGTTAGACACGTGACTTCGAACGCTGAGTGGTTTTTGAACACCCTCCGCCGCCTGGAGGCACGAGGAGCCCGTCTGGAACCGACACGAAATCAGATGTGCATCATCTGAACCCACCACCGGCAGCAGCTGACTCGGCAGAGCCCTCGCAGCCCACAAATCCATTTCGAAAATCGTGTCAGATCGAATCAGACTGGCGCTATTTCTTTCTTTAGCACACACGCTTTTCCGCTCCACCGGCTGTGGCGCCACGCGGTCAAAAACGCAGCGATTGATGTTCCGATCGGAGCGAGCCACAAAAGTGCGTCCGGAGCGGCTGTTTTCGCCGCGGGTCGTCGGACCGCAGTGTCGGTGGGGAGAGGGATGTGGGGTGTCGGGGGGACACGGCAGGCCGTCGGTCGAAACAGAATGAACCAGAGGTGGCAATTGGCGACGGACAGAGCTAGACAGTGGACAGAGAAGATGTACTGATGGGGACTGGACTGTCATGTCAGCTCAACGACGCGTCAAAGATGAATGGAGGAAGAATTTGACGACGGGTTGCATTTCCCTAATGTCTGCATTCACCTACTGTGGGCCACTGACTCGCCGGTCTAACGACTACTGTCTGATGAGCTTCGGTCACATTGGCACGAGAACCCTGCCCCAGAGCAGCAGACAACACATGTTGAGCGAGCGGCGGCGGCGGCTGCGGCTTCCACAGGCTTTCTGCAGGCTCCCGGCAGATATCCTGCTCTCCGCACAGATCCAGATGGATTTCCTCGCTACGTTGTGAGGATATCGCTTAATCACCTTTGCCTCAATGCAGGGCTTTGTGCTGAATAATTCCGCTGGTCGGGAGCGGCGGGGTGGTACGTGCATTTATAACCACCGGAACCGCGGCGCGGCATGGTGAGGTTCCGCGGACCCGGGGTCCCACGGGCACGTCAGATCCTGAAAATCCCGCGTGGGCAGCACCGGCGCATCTGGATCATTACATCCCGCCGATATTACATGCAAATGTCAACTGAGAACAAAGGGTCGGTTAATGGCATCAGGAATCAGCCATTTGCCTCTGAGGTCTCCACGTTATGCACGTTTGGCCCTTTGATAATTAATGAGGAATGCAAAAGTGAGAGAATAAATTCAGATATAATAACATTAATTAAAGTACTCAGCTTTCCGGAGGTATGATATTTAATTTATATACACTTGCTAAGAACTACAACAAACAATTATAAAAAGACGATTAAAAGATGGCGGATATCTGAAAAGAAATGGTATTTTCTTAATGGAATATTTTTATCTCCATAAAGAAGATTAGTGACTTCTTTTCTTCGAACACATCAAACGAAGCTCCTTTTATCTCCCTGAACAAGCAAAGGCTTCATTAATGGGATTATGGGCGAGTCATTTGAAGAAGCCGTCACAAGCAGACATCGTTGGAGCTGGGAGCACAAAGTCTGCTGGAGCACAAATTCTGTCGTGATTATTCCTCACGGAAAGCCAAAACTTCAGGGCAGGCAGGCGGCGGCCAATGCTGCGAACATGCGAAAACACAAGCTTCACTGAAGCTATCAATCTGAACCTAATTCGGCAATTTGATGCGAAAGTAAATATGACGTTTATCGCTTCAACGTTTATCAGTATAACTGAAAAGAAGCATGCATACTGTATGTCTGTCCTTACCAGCCCTCGGGAGCGCTGGTCATCCAAATGTTCAAATGTCAGCTCATCAGGTCCGGAACCGAGAAATGCGTGCATGCATATGTGATATTTGTATGAGTTAGCACGGAGGTGTTGATTTCATGCGAGCTTTTAACCCTCGTGCACTAAGAATAATGATTGAGATGACACTACAATAATTCACAAACTTGAAAACAATAAGCGACCATAATCTTCGATAGAGTTTGAACGATGACTTGTAGCATGTCAAGCCGTATCACGGTAATTCCATTTATCACGGATCTGTCCAGCCATCAGTAAAAATCTTAGACTGCAGGGGTGTTTCTCAATTTTACAAATACCGCTAAATAGAAATAATTCCGAATTTCAACTCCTCCCTGTCATTGCCAAAGTCATCGCAACCCGAGTCATTCCGTGTCCGCCACCCACCCTGCCCTGCAGTCCCGGCACTCTAGCACACCGCACGTGGCCACCTCGACCCCAGCCGGTCACCCGCCGGCTGACAACGTCGTACCGGCGGCACGGGGACCGACGCGCATGCTAATGGCGACAGGCCACAGCCCGGAGAAGTTCCGGCACAGGCCGCAGCGCTGAGACGCTCGGAACGGCTGGGTTTGGCTGGCCTGAGAGCTGGGTCTGGCAGGACGAGAGGATGACGTGTTTGGTTCGGACCTAGTCGCATCGAGTGATGGACCTGGCCGGACCAAAGACTTAGACGGGTTGGGGGCGGGATCTAATCGGACCTACGAGTTACGACCATGATCATAGACTGGCCTGGCTAAAATTTTGGCCTAGCTGTGCAGAGTGGGATGTTTTGAATTTAGATCTAACCAGAGCTGGACTTTACCTCGTCGAGGGATGGACCTTGCCGGACCAAAGGATGGGCTTTGGCGAGCTGAGAGCTTGATCTGGCTGGGCTGATAGCTTGTCTAGCCGGACCATGGACCCAGCCGATACATGGGCTGCGGGGTGGCCGAGAAACAGTCTGTGCATTGTCTCCATTGTCAGTCGCCGGCACGCGAGGGCTCCGAGCGGAAGGAAAGAGTACGGCCGGAGCGCACGAGCGGGCCGATCCGGAAAGGAGCCGCCCGCTCAGTGGGAGGGAGGCTAGCGCGCGTCTGGGCTGGCGCCGGGCGCACTCAACCACCTGGGGTACCTAACGAGCCGTGAGTGCTGCTGAAGAGATACACGGGGCCCTGTTGGGTGCGCGACAAACCATCGCAGAACATCCTATCCGCCACTGATCACACTTTAAAGAAAAAGCACTCTAGTCTGAGTGAGCTGACGTTTTCCGAATTCGGTCGGCGCGACGCAGGGAGCTTATAAAGCTTATTGAGTTAGTTCGAAGCAAAAGGTCGCTGTCCGACAGGGTGTTGGACCACGTTGGAGAGCCTACAAAACGCCAGCGGCAATGTCGGCGGTCACAGAGGACATCACGGGGCTATCTGGGCCTGGATAGCCGGCCCGGCCAGGGCCCGGCAACAACGCCACTCCAGAGTGCCGCCGCATCACATTTCCGAATATTGCCGCGATGTAATACCCGAGCCAATATCTAAACGTCGGCAGCCGCATAGAGGGCACGGGGTCCTTCAGCTACCAAATATACCACAACAATATTTTCGGTGTCTGCTTGGGAAAAGAAATTGAATAGAGCTGGCCTCTGCAATTAATGATTGCTAGTTCGAGGAAAAAATCGAGAATGGGCAGAAAAGAAATCGTCATTTCACGGTAAAAATGATTTACCATAGTAATTTTATAGTTATAACAGGATCAGTACGTTACATAAGCATAAGCAAGCGTTTGTGTCTTAATCATCTGAAGCTGATCTGACAACAGATACCGCATAATTGTAGGCGTGGCTAAAACATTGCACCATTCAAGAAATTGGCCTCCAAGTGAACGACTATCAAAAGTAGAAAGCCCGATCCATATTCATACATATTGTGCAACATTTCTTTGAGGAGCCCTAAAACGAAACCAATTAGGTGCTATCGCAAACCGCGATGTCCGTGGGTTTCGATTGTCTAAACTAAAAACGAAGCCGGCGGAGACGGGATAAAATATCCGTCCGAGCCGGGTGGATACTTTTACTCACACCCAAGTTTAGGTCACCGCTTGTCAATTAAAGCGAACGTGCAGACACTAACGAATGTCGTAGAGTATTGGATTACAGTACAAAGAGCACCCTCATCGCTCAGACTTCCCAAGAATACATGCCAAAAAGAGATAAGTGAAACAAACTACCAAAAGTATTTGGGAATATTTTCAACGCACCTTTACCACTGTCTAGTGTCCAGGTTCTAAGAAGAGGATGTGCATGTGACCGTCCTTCACTGTTAAATTCGCCCCCATCTCTGTCACGACGTTTTACGGAGCGGGAAAGCCGCGACAGCCGCCCAGTGTGTCAGTTGAGGCGTCGGTGAGAACAAAAAACGACGCGCCGGCCGAGCGCCGCTGTAAATATCGAAACTCTCGCTCCTGGCTCGTCTCAAGCTGAGCGCCGACAAATCGCCCCAGGCGCCGGCGCGGCACCCTCAAACGGGCGCGCAAAAAGAAATGACACTATTACGGGCCAAAAAGGTGTGTTTTTAGCGGCATGTAATCGGCCAAAAACGAGGAGAAAAACACTGCGGCGTGATAACAGGGCACCGGAGCCGACAGCTCCGGCCGCCGGAGCCACCGTCCGAGGATGCGGCGCTTTTTCGGCCACGTGCCCGAGGGCAGGTGCCCGGTAATCTTTGGTAAACAAGGCGCTGTGGCCGGCGTGCCGCGTGAGCTCCGGAATGCGTGCGTGAGACGAGATGAGTCGACGGTCACGGGAGCGAAGGGTTTGCTTGGGATGCATAACAGAGTGAGACGTTCTGAGGCCCACGTACGACAAATTAAATTACATGGCAGGTGAAGGCAGCATATGATCGATGACTGCAGCATGAAGGATTCTTGGGACTGTATACATGCATGTACGGTTGACTCCGGGACTTACCTCGTAGAAGTAGAACTGGTTGACGTCGGTATTGTTGCCAGTCTCGTTGACGAGCTGCGCGTCGCTCCAGCCAGCGCAGTCGGCGCAGCTGGCGGCCGCGAGGCTCTCGGCGGTCGCCTGCAGCTCCTCGCACAACTCCGAGCAGTTCATGACGGCGGCTGCGGCGGCCACCTCCGACGACGTCGGACGCCGGTCGGCCACTCTGGCAGCTCGTCGCCGCGGACGGCGGCCGGCGGACTGGCTGCCCCCTGGCGGCAGACTGTGCCGCAGCGCTCCGCCGCTCAGCCTGGGCACGCAGGGAACACGGTCACTGCGGGCGGGCGGCAGCGCGGAAAATCGCACCCACTCGCGTCACCGCACACCGATGGTACCGGCGCTGACCACACCGCGAACAGAGCCGTGACACACCGGCACCCAGCCGAGACACGGCGAGCTCTCACACTCGAGGGGCCCAGCCGAGCCGAGCCGAGCCGGGTCGGGGCGAACCGAGCGCTCCACCAATTACAGTGGACACTAATCACCGCCGCGCGCGACCGTCCGACCAATTACAGCGCGTACCGACCCGCTGTAAATCCCAGGTCACAAAAACGCCGGCCCGCCCGGCTAACTGGAGATCTAAACGGTTTAGTTTACCTGTAAACTGACGCTGACTACATTATTTATCGAGCGATGCGTATCGCGAGTTTTGTGGCAGCCGCCAGGCCCGAACGCTACGACTTCCCATGTGCATTCCCGACGAGAAATCGGACATCTCCCCGCCCTCAGTCCCTTGAGATACCACAGGCTGGTTCGATCATAAACACAGCTCAAATCGGGACCGGTGGACAATGAGAGGAGAGTTGGTGAACGGCAAGAGAAGTCAGTGGACAGCGAGAGAAGAGGCGGTAGACAGCGGGAGAAGAGTAGGTGGACAGCGAGAGAAGAGTCGGTGGACGGCGCACTGTGAAACCGTGGACGGTATGACGTGAAGTGGCCGACAACGAGAAGAGATGCAGTGTTCAGTTGGTGAGCGAGACATAAGGCAGTCGACAGCGAGAGGTGACTGTCTTGTCCTTTCTATCAAGCATTGTTAAAACAAATAAAGAAGATGGGAAAGTTTTTTTGCGCCTATTGTCTAAAATAATTGCTTAGTTGCAGCCATTTTTATTTCCCTGACAGGATCTGAGCACTATGATGCATATTTTATGACAAGGGGCAGCAATATCGCCTTGCAACCTGCACACAGAATCCTTGACAATGTTGCATCATCTCCGTAATGGTGTTTGCCAAGCCCGAGCGGTCGGAACTGCCGAGAATCTGCGCTCCATCGGCGGAGGAGGGCGGTGACTTTCCTGCAGTGCGGTCAGAAAATAATCGGCCCGGCGGCGGCACGGTCGACGCAGCCGCCTATCCCGTCGTCCGACCCCGCCGTTATGGAAAGCTGTTTACTGGCACGACAAGACAGCCGAGGACGGTGATTGTAGCAAACCACGGCCGCATAAGTTCTACTACAGTTTCACCGCTCGCATCCAGTCGCCGCTCTTGAAAAATCACAATTACGACACGACTCTGCTTTGCATAAAAGTGGAATAATATTGAAATGAAGACCGTCATGTATCATCATAGATGTAAGGTCACGGGCATCATATATCAGGGAACGCTGCGAAACGCGACACAAAAGGGAGACACATCTCCTAAATTGTATTACAGACGCACTTAACCCGCGCCCCACTGGGGGGGGGCTATTTATAGCCCCCCCTCCCGTTTTTCTGCAATAACTTCCAAACCGCTTGACGTATCGACGCCAAACTTTCAGTACCTTCGGCTGCATCAATTTGACACCTTGTGTCAAAATTTGAACTTCGTAGCTACCATAGGTCGGCCGGAAATGACGTCAGAGTGACGTCATGTTCGTCCGATTTCGACGCAAAACATTGAACCACGGCAATCGCTTCCAAGAGCTCAGTTTTTAAGCTAGATCCAATTTCTTTGCATGAAAGGACTCAGAATTGACCGCGCTATCAAACTGCTATCTCGGATTTTCAAAATTTTGAAAATTTCGAAAATTTTATATAATAATATTCAAAATTTATATTTTTATATTTTTTTCAAAAAGTTTTTGACTTTTCGAAAAAACCGGAATATATGTGACAGAACGCATGATTATGACTAACTCTAGCAAGTTTTAGCTAAATATCTTCAAAAATGGCCAAGTTATACGCATTATTGCAAAAAAATCACAATTATTAATTTTTCAAATCACTTTTTCAGTACGTATTTGACATCGTACACCAATATAAATGGCACCATCGTGTTCCTGAGCTCAAACTGCATCCAATAGACACCTTCTTTGTTGAAAATTTTTAACTTCAAAATTTGACCTTTTTTGACCTGAAAGTGACCTGACCTAAGCTAAATTCGACTCAAAATGACCTCGAATGACACAGACGACATCAAATTCGAAATATATGGCCTAAATGGACCATAAAACATGTGTCACGTGACCGACGCATGATATAATATTTTCGTGACCTGTGATGACCTGACCCTGACCTGAAAATCAAAGTACAAGTTTGGTACCCTCAAGGTATCTAGAGCATCTGTTCACGAGTGTGGAAACAAAAAATGAGCCTGATCTGACTTGTAAGACGGCGGCCAGAGCCCAAAATGTGAACAAGCCAAAGTGCTAATAATTTTTACTTTGACCTGACCTGTGACGTCATCGGTGACCTCGAGGTCAATGAAATTAGGTTTCGCTCGACAGTTTTTCCGGGGCTATCAGACGCCGTTTGAATTTTGACGATCGGCCCAGTAGTTTCGGAGTTAGGAGGGGGGGCTATGAATAGCCCCCCCCCCCCCCCAGTAGGGCGTGTTATACACAGACCCCAGTGGGGCGCGGGTTAATACGCTCCTCAGTATTGCGACAACAAAGACTTTCGATAAGGGGGCTCAGTGGCTTCTGCATTGACAGTGGACAAAAAGCCAATGCATGATAACTACATATAACATACCTAGTCGAGTAGAACTGGCGGTGACACTGCACTATCTGTCCTCAAAATACTAGGTATATTGATGACAGCTGCTGGTTGATGGATCTCAGCTGGCAGTCTATCGCTAAGAAGGATTGCCGATCAAAAATTGATGTGTTTGCTACTCGTTTTCATTTGGCCGACATCAATTATGAACTAAACGATACTAGATCGAGGAGACACAACAGCACAGGTGCCACAGGAAACTTACTTAGGTATGTACAAGATTAAAGCCGGAGTATTTGTTTGAAAAATGTGCTGTTCCCCTCGCCAACACAAAATGGAGCTCTCAAGGCTCGGCTCGGCTGATAATTCGTGTTTCTTCGAGAAACTCTGAGGGCATTATGTGTCTCTAAATGTGGTTGAGCTTGACGGATATAACAGTGCTTAGCCGTATGTGTGACGCCCTCCCATCAGCAATGCGGTATTCAGCTGTACGCTATCCATTGTTTTCCACCCATCTGGTCCTGGCGTACGTCTTTGACCTGTCGTCGGCATTTGAGAAGTGTAGCGAGGGGAAAAGAGAAGAGAAGAAGAGAGAGAGAGAGAGAGAGAGAGAGAGAGAGAGAGAGAGAGAGAGAGAGAGAGAGAGAGAGAGAGAGAGACAGAGAGAGAGAGAGAGAGAGAGAGAGAGAGAGAGAGAGAGAGAAGAGAGAGAGAGAGAGAGAGAGAGAGAGAGAGAGAGAGAGAGAGAGAGAGAGAGAGAGAGAGAGAGAGAGAGAGAAAGAGAGAGAGAAAGAGAAAAAGAGAAGAGAGAGCAGAGGTGAGGAGGAGAGAGGAGAGAGAGAGAACAGAGTCGAAGGAAGGGAGACCGCCCATCGCGGGACCTGTGGCCGCGCTCTTGCACCCAGTCCCTTCAATACAGCTCACAGGCAACGATATTGCAGCCACTGTGCTTCCGAAAGTCGTGATCGCGGCTTCACACACTGGAATCTCCAGGAGTCGACAGAGTATTGCACTGAAACGTCCATAAAGACGCTGAATATCCAGCTGAAAAAGCTGTATATACGTTAAAACATCTGAGGATCGCCTCGTCCAAATTTGACTTCGTTAAATTTAGCTGGCCGAAACAGAACTCAACAAGACAGGAAACGTAGCATAACTTTTGAATACCTTCACCCTGGTGGCTTCCATTCCACCGGAGACAACACGAGGTGTCTCCGGAGGCAACATAAGGTGGCCCATCGCCAGTCGATGCACGACGGTTTTAGTTTCGGTGTCAATCAACTCAATTGTGGCGTCATTTGATCAGCCTCAGTATCAGTCAATCTAATAAGGCGTCACTCGACTCAGGCGGCGCCTCCGGCAGAGTCTGAGCTCGCCCGAGCTCGACCGAGCTCACGGTTAGTCTCTAAGCTCGCCCGGGCTCACCCGAGCTCACAGTTAGTCTCCGAGCTCGCCCGAGCTCGGCCGAGCTCACGGTTGGTCTCTGAGCTCGCCCGAGCCCGGGGACCACCCGTGCCGTCCGACCGGTATTGTGTGTGGTTTGATGGAGCACTGACCGGCGGCGATACTGGCCAACTGTAATCAATTTCCGGTGACGAATAGCAGTAATTGGAGCGGCCGTGGCGAGCGAAAGGCGAACACAGTCACCCACTGAGTAACGTTCTGTCAAGGTCGTGTGGAATGGGAGTGGGATTGGACAAACTAACACAAATCGCCAAACCAACACGAGTAGGGATAAGCAATGAAACAGGCGAATATAAACGGGACTCAGCGAGCAAACGTTGGTTGCCAGTAGAGCGTGAATGTGGCAAAACAGATAAACGCGACTGAACGGCAAATGAGCAGACTATCAAGACTGATGTACGGGTATAAAATTGATTTAATGTCACAATCAGCGTCCCAAGGTCACATGCAGTGACTCAAGGTCACAGTCAGCGACCTAAGGTCAAGGTCAGTCGCGGACATAGCCTTATCTCTGGTCAAAACAGCGCAGTTCTGATAACATTAGTGCGCGAGTCTAAGACACGGGAGATAGTATCACTCGCGACGCTTGAAATGGGCAAAAATGTCTGCAAAAACGACATCACGTGATTCGAGCCGATTGGAGAAAAACAACAGTCAGCCGCAGTTAGCCTAGTTTTAAGGTTAGTTGCCTCTTCAGATCTATCCGATTCCGGTCGGTGTTTTGCGGACAATGGCATCCCTTGCGTTTATTGACTCTTGACAGTTCGCCGTTGCGTACTTTTTTTGTTGATGATTCATCGTCAGCTGATAGCGTGAGAGATGGTGGAATATCTGATATTAGAGTCTCGAAAAGGCAATCACATGTGAG